GTTACTTTTGCAAAAACATTGTTAAGTTCTTCGCTTATAGTTTTTGATACGAGAGCTGCTCTGTGGAGCATGCAGTGCGCCCAGAGAATCTCAGGTGTTTTCATTTTAACTAGTGTTTGAAAATCAGTCAGTTTTGTGTCCCGCCATTGATTGTGCACCGTCGGTACAAAGCCCATTGCAATTATTCCACATTATGTCGTTCTCATTAAAAAATCTGTCTATTATTTTGAAAATTTCATTNGGTGTTTTCATTTTAACTAGTGTTTGAAGACCAGTTTTGTGTCCCGCCATTGATTGTGCACCGTCAGTACAGAGCCCAATGCAATTATTCCACATTATGTCGTTCTCATTAAAAAATCTGTCTATTATTTTAAAAATTTCATTGGATGTGGCTCTGTCGGGAATTGGTCTGCAAAATAAGATATCTTCAATTATATTAGTAGCAATTAAATGTGCGTCTTTAGCTACATCAGTAGCTTCATCTACTTGTATGGCGAATTTTGAAGTACGCATTCGAGAAACTAATTGGTCACCAGGATCTTCAGATATATCATCAATTCTTCTGCCAATTGTATTATCAGCAAGCGGTATTTGTCCCAGCTGATTCGCATAAGATTGGCCAAACATTGTTTTGACCATATCAATAGCTGCTGGTAAAACTAAGGTTTCTGCTATTGTATGGGGTTTTTTACATTGCGCGATTCTGTACGACACTAGGTATGATGCTAGTAATGCATTTGATGGAATATGAACAATTTTTTTGAAATTTTGCTTGTTTTTAGATAACTCATCCAATTTTCTTTGAAAAAATTCTTGGGGCTTACCAACGTATTCAGAATGAATAGTTTCAAGGTGCCGTTTCAATTTGCCGGGTCTCATACTATCAGCAGCTAAAACTTTTGAACACAGCAAACACATTGGTTTTTCCACATTATCGTTAAATCCGAACGATAAATAGGATAAGTCGTATTTCCTTGTCTTGGGAGTTCTTCCTTCCTGTTCCTTGTGGCTTGTATTCTCACTACTTGTGCCAACATCAGAATCTACATTATTAGTGGATTTTCGCTTATATCCTATCAAAAACTTATAAATTTTTCTGAAAATATTAGGAATAATATTATATTATTCTTAAAAAATAAAACTATTAAATTACTTACTATTATGATTAGTGGGCAATCACGTCAATAACAATAGAAACACAACCTAAC